TATGGATGGGTGTGTGGGATATATATTATTGTATATGGATGCATGTATGTCTAATAGAACGCACCTGTTTCTTGTCATTGGCCTTCTCCTTCTCACTCTCATCGAATTTGAAACCTGTGCCGCCGAAACCGCTGCCGGCATCGCGGACCGTACCCGCCTTTTTCTACAAAGTTGCGATGTGACAATATTGGAGGGTTTAGGGTTTAGGGCATAAGGTTTAGAATTTATGGTTTAGGGTGGCCATTGAACAGTTGTTGGATCTCCAATATCAGGGCTTCTGGGATTCAGGACGTTGATCGTATAATGTGAGTGTTCGATATAATACGCAAACTGGCACAGATGCACTATGCCTATTTTGATGGGCTCTATTAATGATTCTTTGATAGATTTCACACACAAGAAATCCGTAGAGAGTCTCTAAACGCATACGAAAAGTAGCACTTGCAGAATATGCCTGTCGATTTTGGAACAGATCAAATATAAGAGAGAGAAAGAAGATTATTCTCGAAAAACAAGTATAAATACGAGGTCAGACCACTTTGAATACATACAAAGGGCACTAAAAACAATGTCAATAACATGCTCGCAGGACAAACCTTTTCTTTGAATCCAGTCCATAGCTCCCGCAATTCGTCGGGCACTGTGGCATGTGATAGCTCCAATGCTTTTTGGATCTCCCCCGCATACCGATCCTGAAAACGAGAGTGAGTTGAATTCAAAAAAATAAATAAATCGGGTTTTCCGAGCGTCAATACCGCGTACTCTATTGGCTGTATGTGCCCCTTGTACTAGTGAAGCAAAGGCCTTGTCATCGACACCAGCGAGTCTTGAAGATTCCAGCACCAGTCTACATACACTACGAAAGGTAAGCACAACAGAAATAGACCCCTGATGGTCGCCTTGTTCTGTGCAGCCGACTCCCCACAGAGCATGTATACTGGGCTAGCACCATGTAGATTGGCTCGAGTATATGAAGAAGCCGAAGGTGTGTGGGTGTGAGGATTTAAAAAACTAAGTTTAAAATTCTCAAACCAATTATGCATGCACGTGGTCAAGATATACAACTTTAAGTTTATATACATATTCATATATATATATACATTTTACATCTATAAATATATACATATATACATATACACATATACACATATATATACAAATACACAAATATACATATTCCCTGAGAATGATACATGCCTGGTCCGGGGTGATGAAGGTGAATGCAGTCCCCTTCCTGCCTGCACGACCAGTACGACCGCAGCGGTGCACATAGTCTTCGTAGTGATTAGGTACATCTGCGGAACGGGTTGGAGATTTGGTGTAAGGATTATACTATTAACAAGCATTTGACTCTTACATAGGAAGCTGGTTGACAGCCCATTACTCAGACAACAGAGACCGCGGTGACTTATAGAGAGATTTGCAGAATATATAGATGCTCGCCCGCCACTTTCACGGTCTTTAAGGAAATTACTACATGGATAAATCAGCGAAATCGTACTGGAGTACATTCACTTTCAATCATAATATATATATATATATATAAATAAATACATACATACATAT